CTACATGTTGTTCCAGGAACAAGGAGCTGATGCCCTGGAGAAGGGATTAAAGAGAATTATGTGAAACCTCAGTCTCAAGGGGCTACAGAGAAGTTGGCCACTTACTTTACACCCTACTCAAGCTAATTGGGAAGAGAAGGGTGTTTGGTGACCTTCTCTAGACTGGGACAGCTCCCATCAGTCTGTCTCCCCTCCAGGCTCAAGAGAAATGCTGTCATGGTGACTATGACATGTCAATTAGTGCCAGTTCTCAATGACTCACAGCCTCTGAAGGGATGGGATGTTAGTGGAGTCTTAGACAGAAATGATGTATTTTTGGAAGTTGGAGGAGTCATAAAGTGCCCAGAAACATGCAGGGATCATCTTTATAATTCTCCTGCTTCGATGCAGGGGCTACTTCCAGTTTCTGCTGCCTATCTCTCTTCTCTTTGTAACTTGTAAGCCATGCTTGCATCTTTAGTGCCCGTACTGGTTAACCATCCAACCACAGTCCCTCCAGTTATAGTAGGAGTCTATTTCACATCCTGTCGAGGCCTCTGTGCTGTGGGACTGGGAGATGCAGACATCCAGTTCTACCTGAGCTAAGGTCCCACAGCTCCTCTCCTACCAGCCTAACCTGAAGTTGCTGCCCACAATGTGTTGCAGGTGCGGTTCCTGGAGCAACAGAACAAGGTCCTGGAGACCAAGTGGGAGCTGCTCCAGCAGCAGGGTACAAATTCTATCACAGGCACCAACAACCTTGAACCTCTCTTTGAGAACCACATCAACCTCTTGCGGAGTTACCTGGATGGCATCATTGGGGAAAGGGGTCGCCTGGACTCAGAGCTGAGGAACATGCAGGACCTGGTGGAGGACTTCAAGAAGAAGTAAGTGGCAGGACGGGAGTGGGAAAATGCCCCTGGTTACCCTGTCTCAGGATCCTGGCCCTTACTGCATCCTGCTGACTGCTGGGCAATGATGTCACCTATCTGTTCCCCTCTCCTTACCTCCATGGAGGAGAGCTTGGTTCAATGGCCCCCTCCCTTCCTTCTCCACACACAGTCCTTTACAAGTGAAACTGTGGCAAGAGGGATGAGTTTAGAGTTGAGACATCATTTCCTCATGAGATAGGTTGGGGGAAGATCCTTGTTTTAGGATTTGAAAGGTTCTGGGGCAACACATGGTACCATTCTTGAGTTTTGTCTGGGACTGGGAAGTTTCCTGGAACATGGGAATTTTAGTGCTAAAACCAGGACAGTTTCCCTGGGCAAACTGGGATGATTGGTTCTCCAGCTAATAGGGATGCAGTAAAAAGGATGCGTTCATCTAAGGGGGCCAGGAGAGGGATGGAGGCATGGGAGAGATGTACTTTCAGGGCTTCAGAGAACCAGTGGTGCTTGTGACTCAGCTTTTTCATTTTCACAGATATGAGGATGAAATCAATAAACGTACAGCTGCTGAGAATGAATTCGTGACCCTGAAGAAGGTAAGCGCTCTGTGTAATGTTCCTGGGACTAGTAGCTGCAGGTTTCGGGTTGGGCTGGGGGATCTGCTTACTCCATTGTCACAGAACTGCCAAGGTTCAAACCTCCAGAGCAATAAACACAAACCAGGTGCATCTTTTTATTTTATTAAAAATATTGGGACCAGCAGTTAGTGTAATGGCTATGTCGCTGGACTCCTATATAGTTGACCGCGGTTCGCATCCTGGACCCGGTGGCTTAAAACTCACGCCAGGCGCGTGTGTGTGCGTGCCCAAGATTCTGCGAGAGGAGAATGGAGGAGAAGGGATTGTGGTGTGGCTATCCCCCCTGGGGGTGATTTTTTGCTTTCTGTCTCTCTGTCTCTCTCTGTCTCTCTCTGTCTCTGTCTGTCTGTCCGGCGAGCGCACGCACCCTATAGCAAAAACCTCTCCAAAAAAAAAAAATGTGAAATGCTTCATGAATTTGCATGTCATCCTTGGGCCGGGGCCATGCTAATCTCTGTATTGTTCTGATTTTAGTATACATGCTGCCGAAGCGAGCAAAGTGAGCACATTTTAATCTGAAAGATCCCTAAAAAAGTCAGTTCATTTTGATAAAATTGAACTTACACCATCCCAATGAGATGTGAACTGCCCCTTCCTGTGGAGAACAGTCTTGGACAAGCATCACCAGCACTGGCCCCTCCTGACCCTCTCTTGGTTCAGTTGCAGTGTGTTGTTTGATCCTTGTGAGAATAGGGCATTATGGTTCTGTCTTTCTCAGGATGTGGACACTGCTTACATGAACAAGGTGGAGCTTCAGGCCAAGGTGGACGCCCTGATGGATGAGATCAACTTCTTGAGGACCCTCTATGATGCAGTGAGCATGAGACCTACTAAGAAGGGAGGGGGAGATGTTTTTAGATTTAGGGCCAGGGAGTTTTGACATCTAGGCTTGAGAAAACTATCTGGGATGAACCTAGAGATGAGCCCCTGGGAAGGGGTTTCACAAGGTGGGCTCTCCTGGGCCCCTCCTAGTGGCTGGGGGCCGGATGAGGCAGGTGTACATTAAGAGCTAAGCGCTGATGAATGGGACTGTTGACCAGGAGTCTCTCTCGACCTCTGTTGGCTTGTTGCAAAGACCTCGAAAGTGAAAAGTCTCCCTCTGTGTCGGCAGGAGCTGTCCCAGATGCAGAGCCATGTCAGTGACACATCCGTGGTCCTCTCTATGGACAACAACCGTGACCTGGACCTTGACAGCATCATCGCGGAAGTCCGTGCCCAGTATGAAGAGATTGCCCAGAGGAGCAAGGCTGAGGCCGAGGCGCTGTACCAGACCAAGGTGTGTGCTGGGCACCTCTCAGATCTCAGGAGCTTCCAGCCATCACTGGTTGGACTCCTTGGGTCTTCCCTCTAGAGACATTCCTCTAATGGGTGTTCAGAAGGTCTTCCCCCTGTGGAGAGGTGGCTGCTTCCAGGTTCTTTCCAGGTCACATGGGACTGACTCTACCTTGCTTAGGAACTGCAGGATAAGAGAATCTTCTACCTCAACAATCCAGATGTTCTCTTTCCTGCTGTTTTGGAGGTGTCCATGCTGAACACAATTAAATGTAACTTTATCAAATGTCTATACATATCTCAAAGTTCTGTGGGTGATGTTAGGGATTTAGAAACAAGTTAGGCCAACACTCACCTTCCCTTCTGTGCTCTAGTTAGGAGAGCTGCAGACCACGGCTGGCAGGCATGGGGATGACCTGAGGAACACCAAGAGCGAGATCTCAGAGATCAACAGGATGATCCAGAGGCTGCGGGCTGAGATAGAGAACGTCAAGAAGCAGGTAGGATGGTGGTGGATGGTGGTGGATGCTGGTGCCTGGGGTGGGGGTGGAGGCTAGGATCTCAGGCCTTCTGGAAATCATTTCAGGCAGTATTGGCTTTCAGGAAGTTCAAAGGACAAGCCAGTCTAGAGGGCTGGTTAATCCATGGAGAAATACCGCCATGGGTGGAGACGAGCTAGAGGTGCAAGGGGGAAGAATGATATTCCCTGACTTTAAGAGGGGAGAATCCATTTTAACACACAGAGAGTCTAGGACCCTCTTACTAGGCTCACCCTTTCTGCTTCTTCTGCTCCAGAATGCCAACCTGCAGACAGCCATTGCAGAAGCTGAGCAGCGTGGAGAGATGGCTCTCAAGGATGCCAATGCCAAGCTCCAAGAGCTGGAGGCCGCCCTGCAGCAGGCCAAGGATGATCTGGCCCGCCTGCTGCGTGATTACCAGGAACTGATGAATGTCAAGCTGGCCCTGGATGTGGAGATTGCCACCTACCGCAAGCTGCTGGAGGGCGAGGAGTGCAGGTGGGCCTTCAGTCCCATACCCCTGACCCAAGTCCCAGGCTGAGAGGCAGATAAGTGACCACGTAAACGGAGACAGAGGCCTCCGATACAGAGAGGCCTCCACCTCCCATAGGCCTTAAGGAGAAGCACTTGTTTTGACCAGCCCACTCCCTGCACAGGTAGCTGGTGCAAGCCTGCGACCCGTTCTTACAGATACGGCTCATAGAAGGGTGGAAAAGCTTACAGACTTGCCAGGCTTCTGAGCCCAGTTCTGGGTGCTCTCCATCACTGCGGTCCATGGACTTGTTGGAGATGCACTTTGTAATGGAGCATATTTTTTTTGCTTTCTCAAACAGGATGTCTGGAGAGTGCCAGAGTGCTGTCAGTATCTGTAAGTAGCCACAGTAACTGTGACAATGACAGTTGATTCTCGAGTATCTGTACTAATGTAGGGAAGTAACAACTCATTAAAAAAAATTCCCCTGGAAGTTGCCCAGATTTTCTGGGAGTGGAGGGAGCAGCGGATTGGCTTTTGTAGTTGTTCTGGGTTCAGGGCACCTTTAATAGGTATAGACAGCCAATGGGGAATATTCAGCA